ACCCAAATAAATCATACCCACAATTCTAGCATCAATAATATACTCCCAACAACTTCATTTCATTTATCTATATCAACCAAAAATTTTCCTATAGTCAAAAATATCAGAAATTTGAAATTATAGGAAATCCCAATTTTTTCACTGTCAAAAATTTAAAATAAAGTAAAAAATATTTAAAAAATATTTAAGAAATTTATCTAGTTAAAAAAAAACTCAAATGTCACTAAAGGTATTTTATAGTATAACGTAACCTTTGAAATTGCCCCCTTCAGTCGATGATTTGCAAACGCTCTATTTTTCTTTTCTCTCCAAGATGGTGAAACGAATGTTTCGGGAGGAGATGACAGCACCTAACATATAGCCATGTGACCGCCCTTCAAAAAATTTAACCCTTCTTTTTATTTTTCTTATATATATATATATATATATATAAACTCATTTGTTATTTTCTTTTTCTTTCTTTTAAATTCTATTCAATATGTGTATATATATACATATTCCTAGACCTTCCAAAAATTAAAAGAATTGAGCTAATTTATATATTTTGTTCAAATAAAATTTTTAAAACATTAAAATATTTATAATATGTTAAGTGGGAACAATATATTAAATATTTTAGTTTAGTTCTACCTAACCACACTTATTTTCTTTCTTTTCTAAAAAAAAACTATGACTTAGAAGTCCTCAAAATTTAACCCCACAATAATCCCAATTAATTCTTAGTTTACTTTAACAATGGTTTGGCACATTATCTTTATTTTAACAATGGTTTGGTGCATTATCGGCCATGCACGGTCTTGATTTTAATAAATATTCTAAAGATTTCACCACAATCACATAGGAGCAGCTCCACTATATATTCACATAGATTATATATATTTATGTTCAATATGAATCATTGTATTTGGAAGCATGTGAATTGTTTAGATATGTTTTTTTGTTTGGATATATTATTTGCATAACTTGTTGGGTTTGAAATAATGATGGGCATTTTGTTCTGTTACCTACCACGTGGTATGCCTTCAAAAACCCATAAAATCAATCACAAAGCAAGCACCATAGCAAATTAGTAAATGTTACTTTTACCTCTAGCAAGTAATTTTCCTTGAATAAGTGAGGTACCACCTTCTATGGCATTAGCACCACAATCTACACACAATATAATATTAAGGGTAAAGGTGCAATTTACTCTGGAACTTTCCCTCTAGGAGCACTTAGTATTATAAACTTTTTTTTGGAACAATATTTCCCCGAAACTTTCCAAAACGATGCAATATTACCTTGTCGTTAAAGTTGACCATTTGTTGACTACTTTGTTTGACTGGACTTGCCACGTGGTTGCCACATGGTATTTTTTTTTTAAATGATAAAGGTGTAAATTTACCCTGGAACTTTTCCTCTAAGGGTGTCTAGTATCCTCAACTTTTTTTTGGAGCAATGTCGCCCTATTGTTAAAGTTAACTGTTTTGTTTGACTTCACTTACCATGTGGTAGTCATGTGACATTTTTAAAAAATTAAAAAAATGTTGTCCCCTCCCTCCTTGTGTCTCAGTTGCACATCATTCTTCCTCCTTCACATTCGACCATTCTTCTTGTCTTCATTCCTCTATCCTCCACCTCAGCATTTGTTACTTCTGAGAGCTAAATGAGAAGCCCCATAACTGTCACCCACTAAGTTATTACCTCTCCCTACTTGGCATTGGTCAATCTGAGTTCTTTTTTATTTTTTTGTTCTTTTTTGTGGATATTTTGTGTTGTTCGAATTGTGTTCTTTATTTTCTTCCTCTCTATCCCTTGTCTTTGATTGTTTTTCGATGTTGAAAATCTAAGTTTGGTTGTTTTTCTTGATTATTTTTTTATGTTAAAAATCTGAGTTTGATTTTTCATCTTAGTGTTTTGGGTTATGTTGCATTTTTAGTGTTGTAGATCAAGAAGTAGAAGCAAATGAAGATGAAGCATAGTTCTTTTTATTTTTTTTAATTTTTTAAAAATGCCACATGACTACCACGTGGCAAATAAAGTCAAACAAAATGGTCAACTCCAACAATAGGGCAATATTGCTCTAAAAAAATAGTTGAGGATACCAAGCATCTTTGAAGGAAAAGTTCTAAGGTAAATTTGCACCTTTACTATTTTTTTCAAAAAAAAAAGCCTCATGGCAACCATGTGGCAAGTCCAATTAGACAAAATGGTCAACAAACGGTCAACTCTGATGGCAGGGTAATATTGCATCATTTTGGAAAGTTTTGGGACAATATTGCTCCAAAAAAAAAAAGTTTAGGATACTAGGTACTCCTAGAGGGAAAGTTCTAAGGTAAATTTACAGTTTTACCCTAATATAATTATCATTAATTCAACACCAATTATAGCTAATAGAAGTGTTTAAACACTAATCACACCCTAATCCTAGGGTTAGACTAATTAAACTTATTAACCTAAGGTTGTCAAGTGCCTCAAAACCCTCATATATGCTCATCATAATCATTATTACACTCATATCAGCCTTATTTAACCTTTATATTCCCAAATCATCCCTAAAATCACCCAATAATGCCTAGAGTTTGGGATATAATCATCCTACCATGTTTATCATCATTAAAACAACCTAAATGATACTTATTTAACCTCAAAACACCTATATAATTCAAACCCAATGGCTGAGTATTCCTAAAAACGAAAACCCTAAGCAACCAATTGCATAAACTAGCTATAAATGGAGTAGATAAAGTAGAAAAAGGGTTAAGAAGGTTACCATAAGTCTTTAATGCTCCAAGATCAAGCCACAACCTCCAAGAAATTAATGCCCTAGCAAAGCCTCATAACTTTCACACCAAACCCTTCCAGATTACCTTTATAAGTCAAATGGTCTTATTGCATAATTTTTTATTATTAAAGTCTTCAATCCGTTTCGGTTTGAATCTGAAGGTCAAATTCTCCTTCAATTCTACCTCTTTAGGTTTGATGACATGAAAGGGATTCGAGTTGTACTTCTATAATTGAGACACATAGAACACATTGTAGATAGCTATGATCACTTTGTATGAGACTAATCCAATTCACTCTAAAATATCAAATGGACCCATGAATCTGGGCATTAACTTCTTCACCTTAATGGTTCTACCAATGCCTATCACTAGAGAGACATAAAAAACACATATTCTCTAACCTTAAATTCCAATAGCCATCTCCTCTTATTAGTATAACTCTTCCTGCAACTCTGCATTGCGAGCAATTTTTGCTTGATTATGGAAATTTTCTAAGTTGCCTTATCAACAATGTTAGGAACGATGATACTCCTCTCATTTAGCTCTGTCCAACACAAAGGACATCTATACTTTTTCTTGTACAAATCCTCGTAAGGCACCATCTAAATACTCAAGTGGTAGCTTTTATTGTGGGCAAATTTTGCGAGCAGGAGATGATTGTCCCAATTGCCTCTCAACTCTATGGCATACACCCTTAACATATCTTCCAAGGTTTGAATGGTCCTCTCAGTTTGCCCATTGGTTTGGGAGTAGGAAGCAGTACTAAACCTCAATCTCATGGCCACAACCTCTTATAGTGCACCCTAAAAATTTGATGTCAATCCCAAGTCACGATATGACACAATGTTGGATGGTATACCATGCAGTCTTACTACCTTCTTCACATGTATTTCAATGAACTTCTCAAGCTGATAAGTAAACTTGATTGCTAAGAAGTGAGCCAATTTGGTGTGTTGATCCATGATCACCCAAATGGCATTATTACCTGAAGCTATCCTTGGTAGTTCGGTGATGAAGTCTATGGAAATGCTATCTCTAATTGTATATTTCTCAACAATATGTCACTAGGTATATAGACCTTTCCCTTACTCTCTCTCTCTATGAATGTGCGTGCATGCGCATGTGCATTCGTGGGGTGGGTAGGTCGGGGGGTGTGTGAGGGAGAGAAATGGGAGCATAACTTCCCCTCCCTTTTCTAATGAACGTTTCTCCATCTAGACACCAGCCTTACTTTTCTTGTAGAACTACACTTGTGCTTAAAATAATTTTATTTTGTATTTTAAAAATACTACTCTCTTTATTTTAGATTATAAGACACTTTTTGAGGAGATTCAACATTTCAAAATATAAAAAACTTTGACAAAAATAAGATTTCATTAATGATACTTTTTCAATATTATCCTCCCATATATTCTCTCTATCTTTTTAATATTTTTTGACAAATGAAGTATTAAATGTATCTAATGAGCTTTAAATGAAGAGCATTTTTAAGAGTTATATTTTTGTTTTAAAAATAAAATTAAAAAGTGTATTTAATAAGTTTTATTAATATATATATATAATTTTGTTTAAAAATATATTATAAATTTAGAATAGAGGTATCATATACAATTAATGCATTTCTTTCTTTCTTAATTTTGACAATTGTGAAGCATGATCCACAAAAATGCAAATAATAGTCATAATAATAATAATAAGTAGTTTCAAACTAATCATTTAAAAATCGAATCAAATCAGAAGGTTGGATTGGTTGAACTGTTGACCAGTCCGGCTAATAGCTCGATCAAGTCGAAAAAATCGTTTAGAGAGTTTGGCCGAATTAAACCGCTTTGGACCTACTTTTGGATCGAGAATCTGGATCAGACTAGGAATTGGATCTGTTTCTTTAAAACTAGATGGCTCAAAAAAGACCCTTTTTCTTTTTTTTTTTTTTTATCAATTTTTTTTCAAAAAATGACTCACTTTTAAATTATTTGATGTGATGTTATATTATGTAACTAGTTAAATCAGGATAAACTTAATATATTTAATTTTATTTTTAAATTAAAAAATAATTTTATATTTATTTTTTATATTTAAATTATTATACATATATATAATTTTTAAAATTTAATTATTATGCGATTTCGATTATTAATCCAATTTGATTGGATTATGTCAATACTGAACCACTAGCATTTCAGATTGACTACCCGGACCGGCTATGAAAACATTGTTTCGAACAAAACAGCTTGCCACGGTTTTCTATTGGCTTCCAGGTTCTTCTTCTTCGGTTGGTTGTCTTCCTGCCATTATAAAACAAGCAAATAGCTCCCTGATTCTGAACCTTTACCTTTTACAAGTCAATCATCTTGCTTATTTGACTTATTAATCACTATCTTCTTCCCATCAAACTTTGTCTTCCTCGATCTGCTATACAAATTTTCCGAACAGTAGCCGCCACATTATGAATCTTTCTTGGTCCCTCTTCACTAATGGATTCATACTCATTCTTCTTTATTTTATCTTCTTCAGTAACTCAGGCGCTAAGATCGTAACCCTTGATGTTCATGAAGCCAAGACTCTGATCCAAAGTGGCCATGTTTTTCTCGATGTCAGGTAAAACTCCGAAGTTGCTCTTCCGATCCACAGGTTTTTCTGTTTCTGCAATTTTAAGAAATCTAATTATTGGTTCTCGAACGGAAAATTGATAGGACGGTGGAAAATTTCCAGAAAGGGCATGTCGATGCAGATAAGATCGTTAACATTCCTTACCTGCTCGATACACCAAGAGGTACCTAATCGTAATTATCTTTGGATTTTCTATTTTTTCATTCAGGTAGTTTTAGATTTCACTTTAAAATTATGCGATTTTGAACAACAGGTAAGGTGAAGAACCCAGAATTTCTGAAGCAGGTTTCATGTTCTTGCGACAAAGAAGATCACATTATTGTGGTAATTAAATTTTCTTTTTTCTTTTTTTTAAGAGAATTGTAGAATTGAAATTTAGTGTGAATTATTGCTTATCTGTTTTGGATGAAATTGTATGTTAGGGTTGCGATTGTGGGGTGAAATCTCTGTATGCAACTGCTGACCTTCAGGCTGATGTAAGTCGCTTCATTGTTGCTTTTTACCCGTGTTCTTCAACTCTTTTCCTTTGTCCTGAGGAATTAGTTTCTCCTACTTTCTTTCCATTTCTCACCATCAATTTTTTTAAAGAGTTAAGATTTAATATTTCAAAAATTAATATATATATTTTTTAATTATAATTTTAAATCTTAAATTATAGTTTAGATTAAATTTTTTATATTTAAAATTTATTTATTTATTTTTTATAAAATTAAAAATAATTTTATGAAACATTAAAACTTAATTATTTAAAAATTAATTTAAAAGTTAAGTTGCAAAATGAAGAAAAAATGAAATGAAAAGAAGCCAATGCTTGGCAGGACCTGATTGCTAATGTTCAAAATATATATTTTCTTTTTTAACTTTCGCTCAGTATTCTAGATGACCTAAATGATCAACTGGATGCCTCTTTTTAATTTGGACTAACTCTAGCTAGTTAATACAAGCACACAGTAGTTATTTTTTTGTTTTGAAAAATAAAAGATTGTTTAAAACTTTGTTTTGTATTATCTGTTTTAAGAAGTTTAAAATTAAAAATTATTCTAAAAAATAAAAAAACCATAATGTTTTGTTACTTTTTTAATGGGCGAAACTAGAAAAAATACAAAAAAAAAAAATCATATTTTCTTTCATGACAATTATGTTAATAAAATAAATAATTTTTTTATTTCATCACTTTGTATATGTTTTTTAAATTAATGATTTTAAATTTTTTTTATATTTGTTAATTTCAAAACTTATTTTAAAAAATTAGTCTGCATAATTGTTTAAAAATATAAAATAGAAAACATAATCAACCAAGCTTTTAAAATGCTTTCAATATGCAATAATGTAGAGGTAGTGATCAATTAAAATAATTTTTGTGCATTGAAAATTGAAGGAAAAGAAAATATATAAATGTAACAAAACTCCGAAATGAAAAGATGTTCTAGTTTAGTTTTTCACAATAGTTTTTAATTTAAAAAAAAAAAGATAACAAAAATCACATTTTTAAACAAGTTTTTTTTAGAACAAAATTTTCTTAAAAATAAAGTAATCAAACACGTCCTAAATTGCAAATTTTTTTATCATTTTTGTTATAGCCATGTATATAATTTTTTTAAAAAAATAAATATTCATATTCTTTTTCTCATAAAAATAAAAGGATCATGTGATTTCAACAACATTAACGCAAGACTACAAGAGGTCTGTGAGTATGATTTATTATTTACTTAAATAATATTTATGTAAATTGGCATTACGTATATTTTTTCCCTCCCTGTTTACATGTTTTCTCGTGTTGGTAGGTCGATATGAAAACTAATCCAATATGAATTGGCAGGGTTTCAAGGACGTGAGGAACATGGAAGGAGGTTATAGGGATTGGGTTAAGGACAAGTTTCCAGTGAAAACCTTTGCAGTCAATCAGGGTTGATAAAATGAGCCTCATGCAATTTTAGTAGTGTTTTTCTCTCCTAAATGTAATTTATGAACGCATAATTACGTAGAATTAGTTTTGTTCCAGTTTCAAATAATGAAAAGAAAATATTATTTATATAATATTATTAATTAAAAATATTAATGAACTTATTATATTATTTTTATATTATAATTAATAAATAGATAAAGGTGCAAATTTGATCATCAATTGTTTTTCTAGGAGTACTAGATAGTTTATATTATTAGATGATGTGAAATAAATTCTTAACTTTTAAAAACGGACCATTCAATAACCCATTACTAATTTCACTTGACAAATGTTATGTGGTGCCAACAAATCACATGTGGCACATCACTTTAGCATACGTAAAAGTATAAATTTAGCCATGAATTATTTTTCAAGAAGTATTATGTAGCCTCTGTTATAAAAAATGGACCATCTAATATTTTTTCATCAATTTTGTCCCAAACATTATTTATTTTTAGACTTCTGAATTACACAATGCGTCAATCTCTCTATCTTCTTGCTTTTGTTTTTAGTCTCAATGCGAGAAGAGGATGTTTAAATGTTTAAAGAGTTTTTATCTGAAGACATTTACGAGGACGAAGTCAATGAAGTAATAGCTTGATTTTATTATGCATGGGAGAAGTTTGATTATAGTTTAAATTTAGCCATGAATTATTTATTTTACTCTGTTGGTGATGTCCTTGTAAATGTCTTTATATAAGAATTATTTGAATCACTTCTTCTCAAGCTATGATTGAGAACAAAAGCAAAAATATTAAAGAGATTAATGCATTGTCAGTCTCATAAGTATAAAAATAAACAATGTTTAGTCAAAATTAAAAAGAATGTGTTGGATGGTCTATTTTTCATACTAAAGGCTATCGATTGCTCTTTGAAAAATAGTTTGTAGCTAAATTTACACCTTTAAACATGTTAAGGTGGAGTGCCATGTGTTATTTGTGGGCCTCATATTACATCATCAAGTGAAATTAACGGTGAGCTACTGAATGTTTTATTTTTTAAAAAAAAGTTGAGAATTTATTTTACATTATATAATACTACAAGCTATCTAGTGCTCTTAGAAAAATAGTTGATGGCTAAATTTATACTTTTACCCATAATAAATTAATATCATTTCGTTTCATTTTTTTTATGTTTTTTATTGGGAGAATGACAGTTAGGTTTCATAATACCAAATTAATAATAGTTATATCATTGACAAAATTTTTAACAAAATAAATTATAAATATCAATTTAAATAGTACAAATAGAAATTTCTATTTCAAATTGTAAATATTTAATACTCAAATACTTATTTATAATTGAAATTCCTGAATTTATGATCATGTAGATTAATATTTTCAATTAATCTTTCAAAAAAAAATTGTTGCGGATTTAATTATTATTAATTTAGAGTTTGTGACTTAACTATTGTTCTCCCTTTTTTATTCTTCCAAAAACCATACCACTGTGCCAAACATATGTTAGAATTTTTAACATATAATTAGGAAATTGGTGTGCCATAGGAAATCAAATATAAGAAAAATATCATTTAAAGACTACTAAAGTAATTTAATAGTACATAAGAACTAAAAAATGTTAAAGTATCAATGCAAAACACGAGACTAATTTAAAAATAATTTTATATAAAAAGCTATAATACCCTTATTGTTTTTTTTTAAATTTATCAACTAACGAATAGTTTCTTATTAAATATGAATGAATATTTATTAATTAATATATAACTACTTGTTGAAACGTGATATACTTGTACCTTCAACTAGGGTTTCACAAAGATTGAGTTAGACCAAGTAGAGCTTAACTTCAAGTCCAGTTTGAAATTTTTGAGTAGAATCTACAATCTTAAGTCTGGTCCTGTTTGGATCAAACTTGTGATTAGACTAGACTAGGTTTATTTTACTAGGTTGCTAGACTGGTCTTCCAAACTAAAACATTTTGTTTAAAAATTCTGGGCAAAATTATATCAATTAAATAATGGGAAGAACATGTGCTAAATATATAAATAATGCACATTATCAAGATAAAACAATCATCAGGAAAGAAGACCCACATGTTTTAATTAGAAATGATCATATCAAGTTCCCATTTCTCAATTTTTTTATTCAAAAACTTACAGGAAAGAAAAAATCAGCTTGCCAATTGATAGAACCAAAGGTTAGAGTGGAATCAATCTAACATTATTATTCTCAAAATCCAAAATCTTTCTCTTCCCCTCCCAAACTTTCTAGAGATTTGAATTTCTCAAACCTACCCTTTACATGAAAGTCCATTTGTGTTCAAACCTTGACAGTGGTAAAGGAGAGCCATGCCAAACTTAGATTGAGAAATAGAAAAGGTTATAATGTAAGAGAAGGAGGAGAAGGCAGCAATAGAGCCATAGAAGAGAGCCATCAACTATTTGACCTCAAGAAGGAGGAGGGGGAAGGGACGCTGCCGCTGTAGATAAAGGCGGGTGGGGTGCAAATAACGTTGAACAAGTGATCTAATCAAGGTTAGGGTTGGGGCTAGAAATTTTCACTTTTGGGAGGGATTGATAAATGACGCCGCCTATGTGATAAATATACAGGGAGGAAATAAAATATCAGTCTTAAACCCGATCTAACCCCAAGGTCTAGTCACTCTTTTTTTTTTTTAATCCAATTGATTGTTTATTGTCCAAGTTAGAACATGTTTGATTGAACTAAACGGTTGACCAGGTTTTGGGTTTTAATGAATAGCCTACTTTCAACTAAGTTCTTTTATATTATTGAACTTGTTAATTAGCAAATAGCTTTTTGTTAAATGCGAATGGATACTTAATAATTAATGAATAGTTACTTGTTAAAATATGATCTACACCTGTACCTTCCAACAGCTAAGCTTTTTCAAATTATTGAATTTTTCAATTAACGAATGGCCTCTTATTAAATATAAATGAATACTTGTTAATTAATGAATGAATGCGTGTTGAAATATAATCTATACTAAGCCCTTCACACAACCAAACCTTTTCATATTCTTAAACTTGTCAATTACATAATGTCTTCTTGTCAAATGTGAATGTATACTTGCTAGTTAATAACTGGCTACTTGTCAATCAAAAAGAAAGGCTAGGGTATTATAATCTTTTCCATATACAATTATTTTCAAATCAATCTTCTAGTCCTACAGTGATATTTCAAAATCTTTCAGTCTTTGATTAATATTAAATGCCCTCAGCAATCGTTGAATGATATTTTCCCTTGGAATATATGACATGGAAGAATGCTAGTTAATAAGGGCCTTCTTTGTAACTTGTTCTGGAGACAATTTTTTGTTTTTTAAAACAGAAAAGAAAAAATCCTTGTTGGTGAGGCATTTTTTTATAAGCCATTGTTTAAAAAAATCAAATTGTGTTTTGGAGAGTAAAAAAAAATGAGAGCATCTCTTAGATGTTTTGGATTTATTACTCTAGAGAATAACAAAGGAGGTAGGGAACAACATATTTCATGGTAAATAACTCAAACTAGAGCAATCCTCCTATCTCTGTGACTTTCTCTCCTTGATCCTCATTCTTCTTCATTTTGCCACTCAGCAAATTGATCATGGGCTTCAATTGATTATGCCTAACCGTGAGCTGCTGTCAACTACATGCATAGGCATTGTCCATTTGACTCATTGCTTCTGTCCCTTTAGCTAAGGTGAAGTTAAGGTATCTTTTTCTATTTTGACCCTTTTCTTTTCCTCTTTCTCGAATCAATACTTGTGAAGCTATTAGAATTTGTTCTTTAAACCACCTAGAATTTGTTCTCTGAATTTACAGAAATTTTTTTCAAGCTAGATTCACTTTCTTACACTTGTTTTTCAAACCAGCTGGAATTTGTTCTTTGAATTTGATTAACTAGAACTTCTTGATTCAATGCATTCCTCTGCATACTGACTAACCATAATTGATCAATAATCAATTGAGCATATAAGATGATATAGCTTGAAATTAGTATAAGTCTTAGTGATGTAGAACGGGGAAGGAGAAGGGAGAGAGAATGTAGAAAAGAGAAAAAGAGATCAATAGAGAGAATAGAGAGAAGAGAAAACTCAAAAGAGAGGCAATATAATAGTAATTCTTATTCAATCAAATGTGCATATAAATCAAATAAGTTGATGTGTTATTTATAAGCCTCAACCCAATCCTAAAAATAAATCCATGAAAATCATAGATATTCTAAAATTAAATAAAAAGATAACAATAACTAAAAGGATAATAATAAATGTTGAAAGATAACAATAATTCAAATTAAAATAAAATAAACGTAATTAATATAAGAGCAAAATATCTTCAATTTTTAAATCTACAATATCCTTATAATATCTTTAATTATTTCTTTTTCTATTTCTTCCCATCACTTGGTGTTTTCACATAACAGAATGTCGAAGCCATGGCTTGAAAATAAAGTTTTGAATGATGCAAACAAAGTATTTGCATATTTCCTATAACTTAGAGAAATCCCATATAGCATGTATAATACTTTTTTTTGTTGCTTAGATATGTTTGAATGGATGCAAGACAATGGGTGCTGTTTTTTCACAAAAAGAAGGAGACACTTGAATTCAAGATTAAAGAAGAAAGTAGCATTGTAAAAAGAAAAAGGATGAAGAGATTAATAATGGTTGTATTAACAATATTTATAGGAATTATTTTTTACTAAGTAACAATTGTAGAGGCAATCCACTTCTCTTCATGTAGTTGTGAGACTACAGGTGTATTGTTCTAAGACTATTGTGTTATATGTGATTCAACTTTGTTACTTGAAGGGTAATATGCCTAATTGAAATGGTCCATTTATTTCTTGTAGTGCTTTAATATGAAATGTTATTTAATAATGATGACATTTAAATCATTTTAGTCATTGTATTGCTTGATATGACCCCCTTTTATTAGACAATTTTCTCATTATTATTTAATGACAATGGTATTTATGTTGAACCAAGCGTTTTGATGGTAAAAAAACTAAGAGAAAAGTAATTGTTACTTATGCAAATCATAATATCATAAGAAAAGTGACAAAACATCAAGAAATGGAAGTGAGTGTGAAGAAACAATAATGAAATCAATATAAGAATGCTACACTTAAAA